AGATACCCAGGCCTCTGCCGACTGCCCCTCTGCCCCCCTTTCTGGGCGATATCTCAGGGCACGAGGTCTTGGGCCAAGGGCCTTAGTGTGCAGTCGGGGGGGGGGGGGAGCCTTCCCCCTCTGCTCACAGAGGCCTCCCAGAGCTTCTTAGGAGGGAGAAGTGGCTGATGGGAAGTAACCAGCAGAGCCTACCAGGGCCCAAACTCTACTTCCAGGTCCACCTACTCACTTGAGGTACAGGGAGAGCCAAAGGGAGGCGGGGTACGCAGGAGGAGGGAAGGCCATGGGCCTGCCTTCAGAAGCCCCGCTGGGGAGGCAGGATGCAGACGGGGTCCTGAGGGCAGGGCGTCAGTCAGCCTCACAGAGCAGGAAAACGGGGGAGGAGGGGCTGGGAGAAGTGGGCTCCGAGGGGCTGAGCCTAGGAGCCCAGCCCAGGAGAGGAGCTGAGCTGAGGAGCCGCCTGGAGGAGGAGAGGCTGGGCAGGGAAGTGGGAGGAGCAGAGTGGCTGAGCAGCCCCTGTGAGGGTAAACCGAGACCACAGGATGGGAGGGGACCTAGAGCGGATGGGGAGATTCTGGCTTCCGGCAGGTGGGAGAGGAAGGGGGAGATGGGGGCGGGGGGAGAGGACCTGAAGCGGTGACTGCAGGGCAGGCCCCTCTTCCTGCCCCAGGTAGTGGGCCCTCCTGGCCTAGTGGGGAGAGGGGAGAGAGCCTGTCACTCAAAGGGCCTGAGGTGGAGGCTGAGCAGCAAGTCTCTCCCCACCCCCAGGTCCTCACGCAGGAGGCAGCTGGGAACCACCCACACATGTCTGGCGTCTCTCACGCCTCCACCAGGGGGTCCCAACACCGGTGCCAAGGCACACAGAGGAGCTGGTGTTCCGAGGGCCCAGCTGCCCTCCTGGTCTTCCGCAGCCTGGCTCCCAGCTCAAGGAGAGGCTGGGACCACCTGAGCAGCGTGGCCTGGGAACCTGGAGCTTTGGTCCGAGCCCTGGGAGCCAGGACGGCCCAGGCAGCGCCACAGAATTGGGAGGAGTTGTCCGATGCCGTGGGCCCGCCTTCTCAGTACCCCCGGGAACCAGCCCCTCTGTGCCACCCTGCTCATCTTTTACCCTGAGTTGGCCCCTTGCTGCCACCGTGGCTCCCAATCCTCAAAGTCTGTTCTTGACAGAAGGCCTGCGTAGGCTTGACCTGGTCGTCAGACCCTCTCACGGCTCAAAGCCCGGAGTGGTTCCCATCTCGTCCGGAATGAAACCTGAAGCCCTTGGCATGGTCCGGAGCACTGCCAGCTCCCAGTTTCTGCACACCGACCTCCCCTTTTCCCAAAACACATGCCTAATGCACTATAGGCTTGACTTGTATACTGTGTCCACTGTTTTCTTTACATATGTTTTTATTGATTTCAGAGAGGAAGGGAGAGGGAGAGAGAGATAGAAACATCAGCGATGAGAGAGAATCATTCATTGATCTGCTGCCTCCTACATGCCCTGCACTGGGAATCGAGCCCGAAACCCAGGCATGTATGTGCCCTGACTAGGAATCGAACCGTGACCTCCTGGTTCTTAGGTTGATGTTCAACCACTGAGCCACACAGGCCGGGCTATTGTGTCCATGTTTACTGTCCAGTCCTGTAACCCCACTGCCTAGAACAGTGCTGGGCACAGACTTAGTGCTTGATAAATATGTGCAACGAGTGGCTGAGGGCACATGGATCCAAGTCCAAACCTTCCATCACTACTGTCAGACACTGGAAAAATCATGTAACCCCTTTGAACCTCAGTTTCCTCATCTGTGAAGTGGGGACACGAAGGACCACCTCCTAGAGATGGAGAAAGGACAAAATTCGAGCTCAGGATATAGGGATTGTTGCTGAGCTGGGCCTATGCACCTCAGAACCCGGCAGGCTGGAGATGGATGGTCCCCAGCCCCCACGGCAGAGGCTGGGAGGGAGGCAGGCGGCTTCCTTGACGGGGGAGGTGAGGGGGAGGAGCACGTTAGATCGATGTTGGAAGGTGGGATTAATTCTGAGAAGATCTGGAGTGTCAGGCGGGATATGGGGGTGCACTCTGTTCTCTAAGGCGGAGGTGGGGTAGCGGGCGTGCCTGCCACCCCAAGACCTCAAGGACTGGAGGAGTGGGCGCTGCCCCCTCCCGGAAGAACCCTCAGCTCAGTTCCGGAGTGGAGGCGCGGGGGCAGCAGGGCAATTAGCGCCCCACTAGGATCCGGATTCGACGTGCGGCTCCGCGCCCAGGTAGGGATGGGGGACACTGGCAGGGAAGGGGTGGGGTAGTGGGGTGCTTGGGCGTAGGAAAGAGGTGTTTGGGCACTGACCTCTGGCCACCCAGTCAGGCTGCCTGAATCGAGATGCTCAAGAGATGGGACCTCGGTCCTGCTCCCCGGCGGGTGCTCCCTCGCGCGGGGGGCGGGGAAGTGAGGGGGTCCCCTTCCCTCTTGGGGCAGGGGAGGGGGCGGGGGCTCGTCCATCGCCCCCCTCACCCCCAGGGCTGGAGGGGAAAGGGAGAAGC